TACTGCTGTGACAAAAAAGCTGCAAATAATTTTGTCTTCGTTGTACTCGCTTGTTCGTGAAAGTTCTCCTATCTTAAAGCGAAGATTCGTCACGAGAACTCCCACTGATAACTTTCTCTATTTGTTTTGCATAAGTTGTTCAATGTCATAGACCGGACACAAGATGACAAGATAACGTCCGACGACATGGTTCACTTAGATAAGGAGGTTTGCCCTTTTTTTTTTTTTTGGCATAAAGCATACGAACTTCTTTGAGACGTTACTCGAGCGGGGGGAGGAAGGAGATTGTGACAGCGTGAAGAGAATATTTTCTTCTCATCCTCGTTCATAGCTGTGTATTGGAAATTACGAAACATTTGGGATGTTCAAAGAATCAGACGTAATCTTCTCGCACGTAGCCATTCTTCTCAGATGACGAAGGCTTTCGGTTCCATCGGTATGAAGCGAGTAGGGCTCAACACTGATTTACCTGGTTATCCTGGTTATTAAGATACTGTTGAGTCACACACAGGTCACCCAACTTCAGGTTCAGTTACCCCGCCAGATCGTCCAAGCTTATTCAGTATGCTTTCCGTCCAGCGGAAGGCGCCGTGAAAGCAAACGGTTTTTAGGTAATCACATGGTTTTCTGGGAAGACGGAGGGGGGGGGGGGTTAGTCGTCGCTAACACAGTATGAAGGGGGCCTCTAGAAAATTGACTTCCTATGAAGAGGAATCATTTGAATACCACAGAGCCTTTGGAGGAGGGGATCATCCGACCCTCACCCTCAGGTGATATATAATGACCAGTCCTAAATCTCCCTCGTTTCTGATATCATCTTTGTTTGTTTACGTCTAGGATTGGGAACACATTCGTGTGTTGGTAACTGATTTGACAGACTTATCAATGGCGGAAAACGACATGAGAGAAGAGGAGATGACGTCGGAAGCTGAACAATTCGGAGAAATGAGCCAGGATGAATCCGATTTACATACGGAACTATGACAATAGTACTTAGGAAATTTTCAGTTCGAACCAGCGTAAGTTTGGCTCTGAGAATCAGGAAACTATAAAGTTAAATGCACGTCTTGACCCTTTGCGCCCTGACATGGGCATTCATATTTTCCACGCTATCCCCTCAACAATTCCCAGGTAAATAAAATATTAAATGAGCTGAGCAACTTAAAATAGATAATAAATGATTTAATAACTGAAAGAATGATTTCTATGATATCTCTTTTTAAGACACGATTATTCAAATGTTTAACCCCTCAGGCTTATATTGCCATTAGCTCTTCAAGGTAATTATGTCTTGATCGCTTTATTGAAGCTCAGTGTTCCTGTTTTATTCTTCATAAATGGTTAATTTTTTTTACCTTTTGTCTGCTCCGCCTGTTTCAGTTCGGTTACGAATATTATGCTGCTGAGAGAAAAGGGAAAATCATGATTTGGTTATGGTCTTTGTTTCGTCAACACAATGGATTATTAACTTGATTTCCTGATTGACTTTGATTGACACTAAGCTACACAATTAAGCCACGTGAATAAGTCTGCTTTCAGTTCAGATGTTCAGATGTTTTAGATTCGATGTTACGTTCATGTTTTGCTGACCTGTCGCGCTGACCCGTATTCTGTTATATCTGTTGCTGACCTGTATACCGTGAAACAATCCTACGAGACATCACCAAAGAAGTAAGTAATCAGTGCTGCAATTCTAGCTAATAGTTTAACTCGTGTGTTCATGATGTATCGATAGATTCTGTTCAGTTTGTCAAATGTATTTCATTCTTTTCTCTAGATCGACTAATAATATACTGGAATAAATTATACGATTTGCGTAAGCTAGTTGGATTGCCTGTTTGGTTTATTGGACCAGTCTTTACCTCTTTACCATTTGGGAAAGGCAGATGGTGGGCTCACTTTTTGTAATTCTTGATATTTACTCAATATTTATTAATTTATTTACTAACGATATTGATTTGTTATATGCGAGATAAAATCCGAAGGAAAGAACTTCAAATACTCGGAAGTAGCGCCGTTACGGTCGTCAATTTAGCTACTGTAGAGTTCAGGTTTTGGGCCGTTGTACTGTTGGAAAATTGGTGCTAAATGTAGCCTACGAAAAGTTTGGCGTAGTTGGTTTCCATTTTGGTACCCGATGTGTTAGTAGTATAGAAATGAAGATATCTAGCGCAAAATTTTTATCTTGTTCTTTATTTATTGAATTTAATGCAATCTATAGTTTTTATTATTGAATTTAATGTCGTGCCAGCGCATTTTTTTCTTTACTATGGTTTTATAATTGAATTTAATGTCATATCAGCACAGCATAATTAAGATGCATTAATAGTATATGTTTCAAAATTAGTCCCTACCTTATCAGATAAGACTAAATATGTACTTCATTATAGAAATTTACAACTCTATATGAGTCTAGGATTAAAAGTATAGAAAGTTCATAGATCAGGTACAATAAATATATGAAGTTTATATATTTTGAACTGCGATTGTAGATACGTATGATGCACTTTACGTATGATGCATGATCCTCGCAGTAGCGAGAATCATGCATCATACGTAAAGTTCATAGAGTTTTACAATTCAGTCTTGGCCCACGATATTCAAATCTTGACAAATTTCAAGTGCGGATTGGCTTTTTTTTAATGTATGACGGTAAAGATTTGGCGAAAGGTGCCATATTTTTCCTTAATAGTTAGAAATGATTTCGGCAAGACAACTACAGGCAGAGACGTCGAGTTGACCTGAGTTGTTAGATTTGTGGATTTCAGTTACAAAGTGAACACAAGAACTGAGTCCAAGTAGTGGTAATGGTGAGATTCGTTGCAGTAACCGGCAATTGTTGTTTTGCTGTAAGGTCGTTAATAGTGTTCGTGATAATGTTAGGGTCGGTGGAAGTAAGATCTTTATCATCGAACTTTTTCCTAAAAAGAGGTATTGGAAAGTTGCTCAGTGCAGAAAACTGTCTTCACTGCTGTCCGCTACTCCGGAGAAAGGTGGGACAATTTGGTGTCATGATTGGCGTGAAGCTTGTTTTTTCCGTCTTTCTTTTTTTTTCATGATTGCTTGATGAAAAATCTAAAGAGGCGAACCGGCCCTGTGGGGGGAATCCATTTAGACTTTCGAATCTGAACTGTCTCGAATGTATCTTTGTTCGAGGCGTTAGAGTGAAAACATAAACGAACAATTTCCCCGCGTTAGCAAACCCAAACTAAGGTTAAGAAGATTAGAGCCGATTACAAATTCAAAACACCCTGGGTAAGGGTAGGGCCGCCATCTTTAGCTATCTTTGCACCAAGTTCCAGTCCTCACACCTGAATATTTACTTCCGTTTCAATGGGTTCCACTCTTCTTCGTTATCTATTCATTTCCGTTGCGGTACGAATACCTATTCATACTGCCACAAACAGTGGCGTAGCTTCGCTCCGTTACAGAAACCGCCCCGAAATCAGGGTTTTATGAGTGAACAAAAGCCCTATCCGATATATATTTTTTTGTGCTTGTCCAAGAGCTATTCGTTGTAGTGTAGACATAGTATGAGACACCTTATTTTTGTGATTACTGGCACAAGGCCAGCACGCGTTACGTCATCATGCTGTAAGTAGGGTAGTCCGTAACTTCCGAAGATGTCCGGATCCCGAAGTGAGAGCGATTAAAAGTGAACGAGCAACCGAAGTTTATTTTTTCTGGCATCACATTCCATTGTGGAAGCGCTATTTCCAAGATGGTGGCCCTAAGTCGGTGAGTGTTTCGTGGACAAGTTTACCGATGACAATTCCGCAGTCACATGTACAATGTAACTAGGTATGCTATCCAGCATCTGTAAGCACATGTCCTCTTGGAGAACTATTTTGAACTACTCTACTAATATTTCATGCTCGTTAATGGAGGCCTGTATTCCGTATGGTTAAGTGGCCGGAAGCCAAGCCGAAAATAAACCAAGAAAAGAATTAAATAAATTATATGATTTTACAGTTGTTTAAACCGAAAGTTCTTCTTTTGTTTCCTTTTGTTTTTTTAGATTCGGAATACTACCGCTGGTTGCCTCCTCAACGCATGCCATCAATAATACTTGTACTCATTTTAGCATTTCTAAACTTTATTCCTTCGGAAACAAATTCAATCCCTTTCCACAATTAAGGTTCTCAGCACCTGATAGTTACCCCATACAAAAACTTCGAGAATAATTCAATGTGAGTAATTTGTCATCGTACTGAAATGGACAAAAGTTTAGCTTACATCGAAAATTTAACTCATTTAAAAGAAGATGTCAAACAAGTAAACAGGTTAAAAAAATTAACAAAAAGAGTAAGTAATTATTATAATAAATTATAAAATGATTTACGTGGGTTTTGGAAAAGATTTTAGCAGAAGGAAAACAAGTATTTTAAGATAACTAATTTACCGATCCAGGATGAGCAGGAATCACGATCATGTCTTCGACCAACACCAGATAAAGGAATGGTATCAACATCCAGGTCGCTGCGATTTTCATCTTGCTTGTGTCAGGCTCACTCACTAACTTCTGACTTTTTTTCTCAAAACGTTTCGCATATGAAGATATATAAAGGTGCGTTAGCCAGGGTAAGATGTATCCGGCTGTTAAGGAGCTCTTTAGTGAGCTCTAAGTGGAGAAAAGTGATGAATTTTTCCGGCGGCAATAAAGCCGTTGCCTTTTACATTCCTGCCACTACAACGCGATAAATACCTCTGTGGCCAGAACGTTTCTGCTTACTTTAAAAAAAGTGACTATTTTTCTTTTGAGAAAATATATTTAATTACTTCCAATCGAAAGTGGTAACACTTCGAGACACTTCGAACGTATCGAATGAATAATAATTGACCACGCCTTGGGATCAGTTTGAAGTTGTTTTCAGAGAGCAAATACGGTCCCTTTTTTTTAACCCGAGTTTTATCCACAACCATACGACGATTTCTCTAGAACTCTTTGACATCGATTCTCAGCTATACTTCTAAAAATTATGGAGGTTCGCATCAGCTCCTTTGAATCAGCTTCTTACTCTATCAGGTTACTCCCATATCTTGAGGGCTCAAATTTACAACAGCTTGAACCTGTTCCATAGATAAGTTATATACCTTAAGGACTCAAATTTACAATGGGTTTATCTATGGAAATTCGTGGACACAACAACCCAACTGGACCCAATTATGAAAAGTTATGTTTGCATAGAACTCTTCTGTGTAACGTTAGGCTTCAAAGTGAGTTATCTTTGGAGAAACAAAATTTTTAATGCCTATTGAGTATATATAAGAATTGAATTGTTTATCTCGAAATGTTTTTTAATTTTAGACTACTCTAACGATAAAGCCCCAATGTGTTGCAGAGTCCAAGCATCTGGTGCGGATTAGCCCACGAGAGGCATTTGCTTTTAAAAGAAACGACGAATTTTCTTCCTCAGAAAACTTCGTGGAGAAAATCTTGCCAAAGTCCCCTGTAGATTCTCGTACAACAACCCTAAAGTAAAGCTAAGTCTGGAAATCGAAGCCAGGCCACGGACGCTCTCATCACCGCGCCATCCGCTGCCCCCATCGGTTTACCAGCCTAGTAACCCACTTCGGATGTCGAGAGACAACGAGAACGTTTGTAATTGGACAATTGGGTACTAGGCTCCTGCAAACGGTCTTGACCTGTAACCCGCTGCTTGGCTGTCTGCTGTGTTTACCAAATTTATCCTAAAATATGTGATTAGAATTCAGTGCTGTGTGTACTTTTAAAAAAAGTAAAACATATCTGTATCTTTGAGTCTTTTAAAGAACGAACAGTAGTATCCAAAGGGAGTACCTCGTTGTTTGTCATTCATCGGAAGTAGCTAGATAAAAGACCTAAACTCATGCTACTCATTAATAGAGCTCTCTATTCCATATTGTCTCTTCGCCGGAGGCCGAGCTGAAAAAAAAAATAATTCCTCAAAATTATCATTTTGCAGATGACAGAACCCACAGTGCTCCTTTTTTTGGTTAGATTAGGATTGCTACCGATGAAAATGCTTTACTTTACATCGGTCGACTGTCTCTTTCTTCCATGAAATCGATGATAATCGTGCTCAAAATAAAATTTTAACTTTTGTTCGTTCAAATTCGATCACATTTCAAAAGGCTCTCAGCAGCTGGTAGTTTTTATGCAAAAAACTTGGAGTGTGGCACTTAGCACCGAATAGAAATTTCTTGTTATCTTTTTTTTTTTTTTAACATCGGAATTATTTTGGCGCGTCTTAATTTGAAAAAGTAGCAATCAGAATGTTTGGTTGCTCAGCTAAGGTGGGAGAGATAGTAAACTAAGATAAGTGAAATAACAAAGTTATCTCGTTAACACTGGATTGTTTCAAGATTAATTTATTTATTAGGTAATTAATTCATTGATTTATTCATCCACTTTCTGGTAGCCAATAGTTCTG